CGTACTCCGGGCCACATAGGGTCATTCGTCGCGTTTCCGATCGAGTTTTCGAAATCGAAGTCAGCGGTAAAGCGAAAACCGTCTCCGTGGAACTGCTTAAGCCGGCATTTTTCGTTCCCGATGAAGTTGCTGGTAATGCCGACGCGCCCGTATCGTCCAACCAGCCACCTTTAAAAACTTATTCACGACAGAAAAAAGTAACTTTCGCACCCGATCTATAGCAGCTTGGCACAGAAACTTTTGCTTTGATTTTTTTCTGTTTAGTCGAACCAATTTTTTGGCATAAAAGCAATTGTTATGTTTATTTTGAATTACATTTTATTTGAATTTTATTAATACTGTGCAATATGCCTAGCAAACGTTGGGAGTGCATATATATTTTTTTTATGTTTCGAATAATTTCGATGCAATAGTGATGTTTTTCTTTGTATTCATTTTATGTACCTTTATTTGTTATGACAGAAGGAAATAATTATTACTTGTTATGTGTAATATTCAACATTTATATTTTATTTTCCCCTTTATTTATATTTTGTTATGTATCGCTATCACTAGGGGGGAGTGTGTGGGGGTCATGCATAGACCTATTAACTATGGACGCGGTTTAGACAAAGAGGTTGTGTTGTCGATGAATGAGAGAGATGCAGCTAGTTTGGGCATATGGCAATGAGAGATTGGACAATGCATTAGCCAATAGTAAGAAAGCAAAAGACCACGTGATTTACGATTTCAGATATGCAAGGTAGTTGGGGTAGAGGAGGGTAGCTTATGGTAGAATAGGGTTGAGAAGTGCAGCGGAGAGTATTGTGATTTATTATTTTTTTGCCGAGCAAAATGCATTTTTCAGCTGAGCCTAAATTCCCACGCATTTGCAAATACAGTTCTTATTTTGTATTGTTAATTGGAACATCCTACCTATTAGCCAGTACAGATTTCGCAATTTAAGACCTAGCTGCTTTCTCTTGTAAAAAATATGTTTCTTCCAGGTCATTCTTCTGTCCAAGTGGATACCAAGATAAAAACAATATTTAAATATTAAGCGTATAAATAATTTAACAAATTAATCGCCTTTTTCCACACACCCTGTATATATTTTATATATTTTTTGGTCCCGCCTACTTTTAGCCCAAACTAGCTCCATCTCTCACGGACCTCTCTCTCTATCATTGGGAACGCTGAATAACCTCAAAATAACGATTGTGCCGCGTCCATACTTAATAGGTCTATGGGGTCATGCCTCACGCCTGTGTGTTCTCCTCTCTATTACTCTCTATAGTTGTTAAATTAAAAAGAAGAATCGGCAGAGACCGCCGAGAAAAGAGAAGAGAGCACACGGCTAGCGAAAAAGAAGAGAGTTTTCTTTGACATTATTGACAGTCCATGATGACTGCGGATTCCGCTCTCGACCACGACTCGAAAAAGTTGTATTTTTGAATGTTGTGAGATTTTTAAGAGGTGTAAACCTTAAGTTCTGTTTGTATCCCGTTAATATTTGTGTTTACGTGAAGTAAAGTTGTTAACGTTACACGTCTGCATTTTATTTATCGGAATTTCGTAACGAATTCCACAAGCTTCTTTTGGAGCTGGCGAACGGTCGTGCTTCCCCAGGCAAACATTATATACAGCCCTTCCGGCCGGGCTCCTACATGCTATTAGCAGAGGAGTTCCTTTCTATAGGAGAATTACAAGAAACGATTAAAGAAATAGAATCAGGAAATTTTGATATGGACAACGATATTGTATTTTTAACAAGAAAAGAAAGGGAATTAGGATCCGACGGTGGAAGAACTTACTGCTCTCAAACATTTAGACAACGTTTGCAACAGACTGTATGTGAAGGCAATATCAAAAAGAGCATTTTTCCATATTTCCCTCAACAAACCATGTCCGATTCTGAATTAGCAGAATTAGCAGAACAAGAAGGTAGCAAGTATGTTGAAAGTCCAGAAAGAAAATGGAGAGATTTTCAACTTCGACTTAGAAAAATGGAACCAATTTCAACTAGCCCCTTCTGTTGATCCCATTGCAAATGATATCAATGATTTATTTGGTTTTAGACATCTTTTCTTAGACGCGCATAACTGGTTACAACGTTGTTATGTGTTGCGGAATAACAGACTCACTCCACCTAGAATATCATTTGATCAAATAAGGCCACCTAATTATAGAACTGCCAGGCATGGTCAAGAATTTTTAGAACAGACCAATTTCATAACAAACACAGAAGATTCCAGAAATTATCTTCCCGAGATAGGAGAAAACTGTCATATAGGACAACTAGGGGGATTAGAAGGCATGAAACAGAAATTATGGCATAATGGAACATCATGCACATTTCTTCCTGCAGCAGAAATGCACAGATTAAATGTAAACTTAATGGAATCCGCTGACAAACAAACTCTGGCTCTAAAATATAGACCATCTCAAAGACATAGAACCTCAACAATTAGAGAGGAGTTCTTGAACACTCTAGACTCATTGTTCAAAGGACAAGGACTAAGACTAAAACAAGAAAAAACATGGGTATCCACAAGATTATTTGGGTATGGAAAGAAACGGTGGTTATACGGAATACCTATTTCCAACGGCACAAAGAGAGCCATGAGAATTATTTCGGAAGAAAATGACGGTGTACCCTCTATATGAATCCTCTGTGAATCCTCTGTGAATCCTCTATATGTTTACTAGCTACATCAACAGAAAATATAGCCACATATACTCAAACTGCAGATACGGCTTTTATTATAAATCTTATAGAACTATTCATACTGATTTTCCGGAAAAGAATCTTAGATCTCGAGGTCATAAAAAATGTAGTAAATCTAGACGAGAAGATATCTCTGCTAGCCTGCATTTCATTCTGGCCAAACATACTGGGTGGATTACCCATTTCATCCTACGCTAATCATAATATTCGAGGTCTAGATGATAAACTTACATTATGGCTGAATCTATATAAAACAGTTAGAAATCAACAAATTAATCCTCATCTTTGGAAATGTATAATGCAGTTAGTTCCACTTGTCCACAGGAAGGAGAAAGATTATAAAAGATTAATTGAAGACATTTTTTCATTAAATATCCCTACTTTACCTGTAGCTAACCTAATAATTAAAGATATTGTCCAAGAGTATATACCTATTTATGCAACAAACCCAGAGATAAAAAAGATTTTAGCCCTTGATATCAGTGGAACTGAGGCACTAATAGACTACTTAATGTCAATGAACCCTTTATATCTACCTATCATACATGAAATATTTCGTAATTCTAATACAGGAACTATAAAGAATCTCCAAAATAAATTAACTAATGTTTAATCCATCATAAAGATAACACAAGAAGACCATAGGGGAGATCTGTAGAATCAGATTCTCGATATGGACAAAAGTATCTGCAGACAATTAGGCAAGCGCTTCAACCAGCTTTTTAAAATAGTAGTAAGCATAGATAAATCACCTACACAAACTTTAGACATTTATTTTCTAAAATATCCCTGTTCTTACGAGATGGCCCGCACAATCCGCTTTGACAGTTGGGGAATTGAGCCTATCGGTTCTGTTGGGGTAAATGTCGGGATAATTACTTCCCTCACGTACGAACAAACAACCACTTTATTAGGGTAAAAAACATAAATAGAAAAGACCGTTTCTTGTATCGCTGTGTCGAGTTAAGAGTCTCGAAGTTAAGTCGTTCTTCTCGCGGTTTCTCTGCGGAAACTCGCGCATCCCTTACTCCCTCCGGTGTAGGCAGTAAGCGCGAAAAAATCGTAAATAGAATTTAAAATTGAAATAGAATGCGCTAACAGGTTCTTCTCATCCTGTTTCCTGGGAGCAGTTTCAACTTGTCAATTTTGAAGATTTAGACCCTAATTATTATAATAAAAGTATTGCCATCCAGCTCTCAGAGGAACTTGTTAATTGTAACACTCTCTATAACTCAAATTTAGGTAGAAAACTTATATACTTTGGATCAACAACAAAGGAAAAGATGAAATCAACGAGAACCCTATTTTTGACTAGTACTCCCTTCCTTTACTCTTTAAAAAATCTACTCCACCTATATGCATGGGCTAAGAGAATGAAATCCATTCCTCTCATGAATATATTAGACATGATGCTTGAGTCCAAAGCCGCAATCCTGCCAGAGGGTCTAACAATCTCCGGCTTAGTATCAGAAATACCCGAAATTTATTCAGGGCACGCGGGCCATAGGTTCCATTCAATTGGAGAATCATCAGGTGCGATGACAAACATAACCCCTACAATCTCAAGTCATATAAGATTTAGTACTAGTTCTTTCATTGATTACACAAGAACCGGACTAGATTACAACATCTTTTACCAGGCAACAATCTTATACTTTAATACATATGTAAACAATATGTTCATAACACCTCAATTTGCAAAGAAATTTCCTCAATACAGAGGAATATTATTCTGTCCAAAATGCACACATGAAATGTTTGACCACAATGTTGTATTTACACAATCGTTACCTCAGGATCAGCTAGATACATCAAAGATCCCTGAAGAGAGAAATCAAGGCCTTTATTCAATAACATCTTACAGATATGATGAATTGTTAACAGCACTGTCATTATCAATAGGACAATCTTTTGCTTCTGATGTTGACAAGTTTTATATCAGCCATCTGGCAGATAGACAAGTATTAGGGGTAAGCAACACTATAGATTTCAAAGCAATGTTAATATAGTAGAGCTCCGATATGCATGTCCATCACTTGTTCTCTGTGGACTTTTCATCCATTAGTTTTATTTATTTTTCATTTTTTAATTGAAACTCGGGTTTATAATTTTATTTCTGTAGGACTTTTATTACATTTTTTTTGAGATTTCTCAAAGAGAGAGAAGTTTTTTTTCATGAAAAAAACCCGAGTCATGCTACGTTACTTAAAGGGACATCCAGGAGAATTAAGGTCATTGCGAGAATGACGGAAACCACATTGTGTGTTCCTGTTTTCAATGGCGATGCCCTAAGGGCGGGTAACTACGTGCGCTTCTTTACAAGAAGGGCAACGTCTTACCCTGCTCGCCAGTCCGGTCCGTCTCAGGCTTCGGACTTTGTTGGGTTGCTGGAGGACTTGGAAAGTCCCGTCGCAGCCCTCCTTCCCCTAGTTCGAGTGCCGGTTTTCCCGGTTTATACGGGTAAACCGGGTAGGAAGCGAATCGCTTCCACTTGTAACGCATTGTGCTGCGCCTTTATCAGCGTATGGCCGTCCTGTCAATTTGATTTGACGGCCAATGTTGCCAACTGCCGTGCGATGGCCGGCCTAAGAGACATTGTCTCCTGGGTCTTGCGCGCGTACGGCGGTAACGGAGAGGCCTTCGTCGCCAAGTCCCTTAAGGGGCTGGCGGCATGGCTTCGTTTCCTGGCTGGCAACCAGCTACATGCTAAACCTCCCCCTCTGCTGCGCTTCCCCTTCTCCAATGAAGTGGGGGAAGTCTCGCCGGATTTGCTCTTCCGAGGTAGCATTGCTAACTCGGCGAAATGCCAGAAGTCGCTGTTGCGATTTTCTCGCTTCGCCAGAGCGCTGCCAGCTGGCGGGGGGTGGGCCGTGGAAATTTCCTTGCGCGAACATCGTCGCGAGGCTACCTCTTGCCCCCCAGTCTTGCCCGCACTTGCAGACCGCTTCTTTGAAGTGGTCCAAAAAGTGACTAAGGACAAGTTGGAAGGGCTGGAGGATCCCGGATTCACCCTTTCAAGCAGTGCTTGTTTGGAGAGAACCCGCGCCTGAGGGGTGCGGCGGAAGAAATTCGAGTGCAATTACGCAACACGTTTCCGGACCTGGACACCCGTGTCTTCAATGAAGACGGGTCGACCAATTTCGTATTGTTGAACCCTGACGGCACTATTCGTGCCGGGGGCCAGCTTTACTCTTCCAGAGTGGAGCGTTTTAAGCACCCGGTGACGGGATTACCGATGAGCACCGGTATCTTGACAGGCTGGTCCACCACGTTTGTGTGGAACAGGCCTTCGGCTTACCAGCTCCTATCTCTGTCCCTACTTGGGACGAGGCAGAGCCAGAGATCTCTCTTCCAGAGAGATACATGCCGACCCACAAGGTGATCTGCGTCCCTGATAGGGGCGCGTTCAAAGTGAGGGTCATAACTGCCGGTCCGGCTGCATTGCAGTCGTTAGCTCACCAGGTACGCAAGGTCCTTTACCGGACCGTCCTTCCCTTCTTGCCCACACGGTGGGCTTTGGTGGATGGCGGTCTACGTAAGTTCCTCAACCAAGTGGCATTGCCACCCGGTGCGGAACAGATGGGTTTAGGACCCTGGGTGGCGCTATCATATGACATGAAAGCAGCCACTGATCGATTCCCGCATTATCTCATAGAGAGCATCAATGATGCAATCGAATCCAATCTTACAGCGGTTCAGCGCGCCTCCCCAAATTGGGTGGCACATCGCAGCCTCTCGGGGCCGCAGAAGCTGAACTACGGGGATGAGGAAAATGAAGATATTATTATTTCTTCCTGTGGGAACTTGATGGGCACCGCCCCTAGCTGGTCACTGCTTAATCTGTTCAACTATTCGTTGTTCAGAATTGCGTGGTCCATTTGGAGCGATCGTGCCCTACGGAGAAGGTATCCTGAGTTGGTCTCCGCCACCGCTTCACGGTCCGATAAGTATCGTACCCCAGCGGTTTGGCGGAAGTTATTACAGGTCACCCGGCTGGTGATCGGTTCAGAGGATGAGCTGAAACATTGTTTTGGCTATCCTCGGTCTCTCCCGAAGTTTAACACATTGTGCGCACTGTGTGGAGATGATCTGGCTGCTGTTTGCCCGTTAGGGGTCGCTGTCGTTTACGAGCTTCTTTTGGAGCTGGCGAACGGTCGTGCTTCCCCAGGCAAACATTATATACAGCCCTTCCGGCCGGGCTCCTACATGCTATTAGCAGAGGAGTTCCTTTCTATAGGAGAATTACAAGAAACGATTAAAGAAATAGAATCAGGAAATTTTGATATGGACAACGATATTGTATTTTTAACAAGAAAAGAAAGGGAATTAGGATCCGACGGTGGAAGAACTTACTGCTCTCAAACATTTAGACAACGTTTGCAACAGACTGTATGTGAAGGCAATATCAAAAAGAGCATTTTTCCATATTTCCCTCAACAAACCATGTCCGATTCTGAATTAGCAGAATTAGCAGAACAAGAAGGTAGCAAGTATGTTGAAAGTCCAGAAAGAAAATGGAGAGATTTTCAACTTCGACTTAGAAAAATGGAACCAATTTCAACTAGCCCCTTCTGTTGATCCCATTGCAAATGATATCAATGATTTATTTGGTTTTAGACATCTTTTCTTAGACGCGCATAACTGGTTACAACGTTGTTATGTGTTGCGGAATAACAGACTCACTCCACCTAGAATATCATTTGATCAAATAAGGCCACCTAATTATAGAACTGCCAGGCATGGTCAAGAATTTTTAGAACAGACCAATTTCATAACAAACACAGAAGATTCCAGAAATTATCTTCCCGAGATAGGAGAAAACTGTCATATAGGACAACTAGGGGGATTAGAAGGCATGAAACAGAAATTATGGCATAATGGAACATCATGCACATTTCTTCCTGCAGCAGAAATGCACAGATTAAATGTAAACTTAATGGAATCCGCTGACAAACAAACTCTGGCTCTAAAATATAGACCATCTCAAAGACATAGAACCTCAACAATTAGAGAGGAGTTCTTGAACACTCTAGACTCATTGTTCAAAGGACAAGGACTAAGACTAAAACAAGAAAAAACATGGGTATCCACAAGATTATTTGGGTATGGAAAGAAACGGTGGTTATACGGAATACCTATTTCCAACGGCACAAAGAGAGCCATGAGAATTATTTCGGAAGAAAATGACGGTGTACCCTCTATATGAATCCTCTGTGAATCCTCTGTGAATCCTCTGTGAATCCTCTATATGTTTACTAGCTACATCAACAGAAAATATAGCCACATATACTCAAACTGCAGATACGGCTTTTATTATAAATCTTATAGAACTATTCATACTGATTTTCCGGAAAAGAATCTTAGATCTCGAGGTCATAAAAAATGTAGTAAATCTAGACGAGAAGATATCTCTGCTAGCCTGCATTTCATTCTGGCCAAACATACTGGGTGGATTACCCATTTCATCCTACGCTAATCATAATATTCGAGGTCTAGATGATAAACTTACATTATGGCTGAATCTATATAAAACAGTTAGAAATCAACAAATTAATCCTCATCTTTGGAAATGTATAATGCAGTTAGTTCCACTTGTCCACAGGAAGGAGAAAGATTATAAAAGATTAATTGAAGACATTTTTTCATTAAATATCCCTACTTTACCTGTAGCTAACCTAATAATTAAAGATATTGTCCAAGAGTATATACCTATTTATGCAACAAACCCAGAGATAAAAAAGATTTTAGCCCTTGATATCAGTGGAACTGAGGCACTAATAGACTACTTAATGTCAATGAACCCACCGGATTCACCTATCATACATGAAATATTTCGTAATTCTAATACAGGAACTATAAAGAATCTCCAAAATAAATTAACTAATGTTTAATCCATCATAAAGATAACACAAGAAGACCATAGGGGAGATCTGTAGAATCAGATTCTCGATATGGACAAAAGTATCTGCAGACAATTAGGCAAGCGCTTCAACCAGCTTTTTAAAATAGTAGTAAGCATAGATAAATCACCTACACAAACTTTAGACATTTATTTTCTAAAATATCCCTGTTCTTACGAGATGGCCCGCACAATCCGCTTTGACAGTTGGGGAATTGAGCCTATCGGTTCTGTTGGGGTAAATGTCGGGATAATTACTTCCCTCACGTACGAACAAACAACCACTTTATTAGGGTAAAAAACATAAATAGAAAAGACCGTTTCTTGTATCGCTGTGTCGAGTTAAGAGTCTCGAAGTTAAGTCGTTCTTCTCGCGGTTTCTCTGCGGAAACTCGCGCATCCCTTACTCCCTCCGGTGTAGGCAGTAAGCGCGAAAAAATCGTAAATAGAATTTAAAATTGAAATAGAATGCGCTAACAGGTTCTTCTCATCCTGTTTCCTGGGAGCAGTTTCAACTTGTCAATTTTGAAGATTTAGACCCTAATTATTATAATAAAAGTATTGCCATCCAGCTCTCAGAGGAACTTGTTAATTGTAACACTCTCTATAACTCAAATTTAGGTAGAAAACTTATATACTTTGGATCAACAACAAAGGAAAAGATGAAATCAACGAGAACCCTATTTTTGACTAGTACTTCCTTCCTTTACTCTTTAAAAAATCTACTCCACCTATATGCATGGGCTAAGAGAATGAAATCCATTCCTCTCATGAATATATTAGACATGATGCTTGAGTCCAAAGCCGCAATCCTGCCAGAGGGTCTAACAATCTCCGGCTTAGTATCAGAAATACCCGAAATTTATTCAGGGCACGCGGGCCATAGGTTCCATTCAATTGGAGAATCATCAGGTGCGATGACAAACATAACCCCTACAATCTCAAGTCATATAAGATTTAGTACTAGTTCTTTCATTGATTACACAAGAACCGGACTAGATTACAACATCTTTTACCAGGCAACAATCTTATACTTTAATACATATGTAAACAATATGTTCATAACACCTCAATTTGCAAAGAAATTTCCTCAATACAGAGGAATATTATTCTGTCCAAAATGCACACATGAAATGTTTGACCACAATGTTGTATTTACACAATCGTTACCTCAGGATCAGCTAGATACATCAAAGATCCCTGAAGAGAGAAATCAAGGCCTTTATTCAATAACATCTTACAGATATGATGAATTGTTAACAGCACTGTCATTATCAATAGGACAATCTTTTGCTTCTGATGTTGACAAGTTTTATATCAGCCATCTGGCAGATAGACAAGTATTAGGGGTAAGCAACACTATAGATTTCAAAGCAATGTCAATATAGTAGAGCTCCGATATGCATGTCCATCACTTGTTCTCTGTGGACTTTTCATCCATTAGTTTTATTTATTTTTCATTTTTTAATTGAAACTCGGGTTTATAATTTTATTTCTGTAGGACTTTTATTACATTTTTTTGAGATTTCTCAAAGAGAGAGAAGTTTTTTTCATGAAAAAAACCCGAGTCATGCTACGTTACTTAAAGGGACATCCAGGAGAATTACAAGAAACAATTAAAGAAATAGAATCAGGAAATTTTGATATGGACAACGATATTGTATTTTTAACAAGAAAAGAAAGGGAATTAGGATCCGACGGTGGAAGAACTTACTGCTCTCAAACATTTAGACAACCTTTGCAACAGACTGTATGTGAAGGCAATATCAAAAAGAGCATTTTTCCATATTTCCCTCAACAAACCATGTCCGATTCTGAATTAGCAGAATTAGCATAACAAGAAGGTAGAAAGTATGTTGAAAGTCCAGCAAGAAAATGGAGAGATTTTCAACTTCGACTTAGAAAAATGGAACCAATTTCAACGAGTCCCTTCGGTTGATCCCATTGCAAATGACATCAATGATTTATTTGGTTTTAGACATCTTTTCTTAGACGCGCATAACTGGTTACAACGTTGTTATGTGTTGCGAAATAACAGACGCACTCCACCTAGAATATCATTTGATCAAATAAGGCCACCTAATTATAGAACTACCAGGCATGGTCAAGAATTTTTAGAACAGACCAATTTCATAACAAACACAGAAGATT